TATTCAAATACTTTCCTAATTTTCACATGTGTTTGCCTGTCTTATTCTGGATATAGTTCCATCTTAAAAAAATCTTTATTATATATTTTTCCATTACCAATTAGTCCCCTTATAGCCACCCCCCCCCACCCAGCAATCACCACACTGTTGTCCATGTCCATGAGTCAAGACAAGTCTATTTGTAAATGCCTTTTAGCTTCTTTCTTTAGTCTTCCCAGTACTTGCTCAATTGGCTTATGAACAGAGTGGTCATGGTGGTGTGGGTTGAGTGGCACAGGCTTCGACTCACCAAAGCTGATCTGACCACAGCCCCCAGTGAGCACCTCACAGTAGACACCAATACAGAGTCCCTGATATGGCACCACTCCCCAGGGGGAACAGCTAGCCACCTGGTAACACTGTGGAAGAGGCAGCAGTCTGTGCTCATTGCACTAGACTCTTATTCTACATATGGAGTTGCCTTCTCCGACTTCAGTGCTTCTACTAAAATCTCACCTGTGGGTTTATAGAATGCCACCGTCCAGTCAGAACTGCTTGTAGTATCATTTCTAACCAAAAACCCTCATCTGACAGGCACAATAAAAAGGCAGCAGGATAATGCTCAGAGAACTCACTGTGATGGAGTGGTCCAGGGATTCCATCACAGCCTGCTGTGTGGAATGGCCTATTGAAGACTCATCTTTGCCACTTGCTGGGTAGGCATGGGCACTATTTTACAGATTGAAATATATTTTAGCATCTGGTACTATTTTTCCCATGCGTAGAATATCCAGGTCCAGGAGCCAAAGGTTGTGGCTTTTCTCACTATTACCTTTAATGATACTATAACAAAATAATTTGCTTCTTGTCCCTGCAGTACTGGGATCTCCTGGTTAAGAAATTTTTATTCCCAAAGAAAGACTGCTACTAGGGAACACAAAGAATTTCATAGAAAGGTAAATAGACTTCAATCTTTTAACTAATGGCATAATTATTTTCTTTGTTGGTATTCTTTTTTAAGTTGCAACAACAAAATTCAACTCACATATCCCAATATCCAAAAGGCATACTACTTATTTGAAGAATATACTCAGATTTATTTATTTTTAAATATTTCATTTATTTACTTTTAGAGAGAGGGGATGGGAGGGAAAAAGAAAGGGAGAGAAACATTAATGTGTGACAGATACATCGATTGGTTGCCTCTTGCACACCCCCACCTGGGGACCTGGCCTGCCGCAACCCAGGCATGTGCCCCAACCGGGAATCGTGAGTATCGGGGTCTGAACAAGCATTTCTATATTTAAAAACTTGGGAATTCCAAAAGGTGTCTGGATGTATTTGCATTTTACACCATCACTGAGCCGCAGACAACCGCAACTACTTTTGGGAGGACCAATGGAAATTAGAAATTCTAACCCTAACTACATCTTACAACGGAAGTCAGGAGACAATTTTTCTTTCATTCTGAACTTATTTTAAAATGTATAAAGCTAAAATTGTAAATATTAATTAATGCATTTCTTCTCCTAAACAAAGATTTACTTTTTAATTTTCACCGACTGCCAAACAGGCACTTCAAATACCAAATAAAGCAAATACAAAGGACCACATGTAGCCAAACAATAAGAGAAGGAGGAATTTGATCAAGGCACTTGGATAGGTGAGTGAAGGCCACCACAATAACTATACCTGGAAAGGCTCACACAGCTGATTTCTTAACAAGAGAATAGAGGTAAGTATTCTACAGTGACAAGATAATAAAGGAATGTGATCACAGAGTACTTATTCTGCCAGGCACTGTTCCAAGGATTAACTTATTAAACCTCACAGGGATACCAGGAGGATTCCTGGTATCTGTGAGGAGGATTAAACCTCTCAGGGATACCAGGAGGAATTATTCTTATCCTTGGTTTATGATTAAAGAAAAGAGGCAAGAGGTTAAGTAACTTGCCAACTGAGGTGACACAGTAAGTGCCAAAGCAAGGATTTATGTAGTTTGAGTCACTCACTTATCCAGTCTGTAGTCAGTCTCTCATCCAAGCTACATACCAAAGACTGGGACCAGAGTGAGGTGAGTGAGGCATTTGTCTTGGGTGCAAAATTTAAGGTGGTGCCAGAAGAAACATCAGTAACCAGATACATTTTTAATACAGTATTTTTAAAAATTAGAATAAATGCAAAAATTCCACGATGAACAAAATATCAAAAGTTTTTTAAAAAAGAATCAGAATTATTGATTTTTCCTTTTGCCTTAGGCTCCTATGTGGCTTGGCATTATTACTGGATTTTGCTGTGTATGACACATACTCTTTTGCCCAAATTTTTGAGGGCAAAATAAGGATGTTCATTATACCTGAGTATAATGATTACATACCATGGATACAATAATGAGTATAATATCGCATGTATAATATGTACAAAAACATGATGTGCATTATACACGGCAAAGCACAGTACCTGTCTTATCTTCATTTAAAATTCTGTGCTTTAGGCAAGAAACTCACTCTCCTCATTCCCCTCACTTGAGTCTGGGCACTGTTATAGCTCCAAATAAAAACCCAAACCAAATTTTTCCTTTACATTAAATATTGAGTTCCAATCAATGATTGACTAAATTGGTCACAGTAGTAACTGTCTGAACGACTGATGCCATCATTCTGAAATAGTCAAAGGCAAAAGCCTTCTATGTTGAATGCACATTAATGAATATAATGCCTATTGGATGATCAAAGCATTCGCATATTAAGGATGAAAACAGACCCCTTGTGGGTGTGGCTCAGGGGGTTGAACACCAGCCTGAGAACCAAAGGGTCAACATTTAGGTCCCCCTTCAGGAGACATGACTGGGTTGCAGGAACATCCCCAGTTGGGGGAGTGCGAGAGCCAACCCATTGATGTTTCTCTTGCATATTGATGTTTCCCTTTTTCTTTCTCCCTTCTCCTCTCTCTAAAATTAAATTTATAAAATCTTTTTTAAAGGATGAAAATGTAAATCTCTTTTGGCAAAAGAAAATTCTGTGCTTAGCTTTAGTTGGCTGCACTAGCCTTACCTCAATGAATAATTAGGTATGCATTTAACAAATGTTTATTGAGTACCTACTATAGGTCATGTCTCAATTAGGTGCTTCAAGGATAATGGAAAGATTAAGTGGAATTTCCAGAATATAAGGAAAATGGGGAGCAGAAAAGAACTACTTTTTGGTGTATATCCACATAGAAGGCAATTACAGGGCATATTTTTAAAATTTAATCCTCACATTATCCCACTTTTGTAGATAAAAAGACCAAGGCTCAGAGAGAGTTCATAATTTATGCAAGGTCATCCAGCTAAGAAAGTAGCAAAACTAAATCCAAACTCAGACTCACGTGACCAAACAAACAAACAATATGTGCTATTATTATATTAACACAATTCAAAATTGTACAAAGAGTTTGAAGCAACCTAGAAAAAACACTGATGATGAGTGGGAAAGTGAAAATATAAAACTGCTTACTAGATTAAAACCATGTAAAAACATGTTTACGTGCGAACAAAGAGTAAAAGGAAATCATTGGGTAATTGCAACTGATAGTTAACAGTTTTTAAAAATTATACAATGATAAAAGGTATAAGAGGAAATCAGATTAAACTGGATAAAACAAGTCTAAGTGTCACACTTGTATTTCTCACTATGTAAAATGAACAGAAACAGAGTTTTATATATGGTAAGATCAACACAGAAATTAAAGACTTTCAAAAAAGACTAGTTGTAATTAATCTGAACTCTTACATCCTATGACGTCAACGGTTTGGTTACTATCAATACCCCAAACAACAAAATACTATAATTAAACACACACTATCCAAATGTGTAATTGGAACTAAAACTTGAAGTTTATACCTATAATTTAACAAAAGGTCACAACATGGTCATTGAATATAAACAAAACAACTACATAGTTTTTGTATTTTCTTCATCATATTCAGTGATGATAAATTGGGTAGGCCAAAAAGTTCATTTAGTTTTTTCTGTAAAATAAAAGACATTTTTTGTTTTCACCAATAACTTTATTGATTTGGGTTATGTTGAATATGTTGGCTATTGCCCACTACTGGCTTCCACTGGGTAGAAGCCAGGGGTGCTGCTAAACATCTTCCAATGCATAAGGCAGCCCCACAGCAAAGAATTATTTGGCCAAAATGTCAATAGTACCAAGAAACTTTGTAAACCACTTTTTGACATGTTCAATTAGTCACAGCACCTTTTCCATACGCACAAATCTTTTTTGTGTTTCCGTTGCTTTTTTACCTTTCTTGAAATAATAAAGCATTAAAACTGAAAATGTTGTGTATCTTCTTCCATTTTCAATATTAAAATGGTTGCACAAAAACTCACCAATTTTGATACATTTTTTAAATGCATGCTGATATGACAGCTGTCACAATACATTCTAATAAAATTGTTTTGAATCAAGTTAAAGACAGCTAAGCACTACTACAGACATCATAGGAATAAACATAACAGACTTATTGGCCAACCCAATGTTTCTTTTACATTTAAGGATTTCAACTTATTTCTCTATTTAAAAATACTAAATTCTAAGTTGCATTCATTAATACACAAACTCGGTGGAACATGAATTCCAATAATTTCTTGAAAAATCTTAGTTCTGATAAGTGGTAAAATAACATCTGGGAGGGAGTTCTTTAAATCCGAAATATTTTACAACAAAGAGAATAGTAATTTTATTAAAAATTAAACTTATTCAGACACAATATGCAGTCACTTAGTTTGAGAACAGTAAGTCTCAACTTTTAAAAAATTCAACAATGTTAAAATAATAAACTAGCAATAATCCTAGATAAGATACAACTGTTAAATGTCGCTATTTCTCCATTTTCTAAGATAAGTGGTGCCTAATAATTGGTTAGAAAAACCTACAAAACTTCTCCTGGTTTTTATTAAACTACAATTGATAACAGAATGTATTTACACCTTTAAGAAATAAACAGCACTCTAAAGAAATTTAGTACTTACTTGATAATCATTTCTCTTAATATTTGGAACATCCATGTTGTGAGTAGAAGGGCAAATATCTTCATATTTTTTGCCCGTGAAAATATCAATTCCAACAAGGTGAACCTAACAGAGAAGGGAGAACAGGAAACCTGTTTAAACTTTGCCAAGTATATCAATCGTTACATACACAAGAGCACAATACCAAGGCTGATTATGATAGATTCTTTTTCCTCCCAAGGTCATCTAATTTCACTTTCCTTAAAAAAAGGTAGTGATCACACAACTGATAAGCAATAAAGAACTAAATGTATCATGACATATCAAGACCAAATCATACATAGTCTAGTAATTATAAGAGGGCACATGAAGTTAGATTTTAGAATTATGTTAGAACAGGTTTTCTCATCTGTAAGCTGAACAGATCTTCTAAGTCACTAGGACTCAGGAAAATTAATGAAACATTGTAAGGGTCCAAGAAGAAAATTCCACCTTTCAGTATTCAAAGTAACAGCTGATCTCCCAGTAATAGTGGGAAGAAAAAGAAGTGCTTATTACACGGTAATAAGTACAGAAATCTCGCGTGCTATAATGAAATACAAATGATCAAAATCTCAACGCAAAGGCAGACATGGAAGGGTACTCACCTTGGCATGGCCGTGCTTTCCAGTTTTGGAAGTTGACATCTCTACTATTTTGCACGGTCGTCCTTTGAGCACCACGAAGCCGTTTTTGCGCAGGGCCGAGCACTGCATAGGGTATGTGCTGGAAGCCCCAGCGTCTCCAGTAGTGAAGTCAATTTCATCTGCCATGGTGGGCTGGAGAGATGGTAGCTTTCCCCAAGGAACTACAAAAAAGTTTGTGTTTGCTTTTTAAGAGGCACACAGGTAAGGAAACATCTCATTTTGGGCAGGTTACATGCCAAGCATCACGGATCAATTATTTTTGCATTTATAGTATAACCACGCAAGAACAGTGGACACTTTTTAACTCCGGCCTCTACAAACTTTTCCATCCACTGATGGGGAGGTGGGTAGGAAGTCCCAGAGGAGCTCGCTGGAGTGGGGGATACCCGCCCTGGGTGCTCACCCGCACGAGAAGCACCAAATTCCCCGCCCCCGTCGTCCCACCACAGGAAAAGCCGGCGACCTTCCCGCACGCACAGCACCGCACCGCCCGGCCCTCCGCCACCGCCCTGATCTCCACTGCGGGGCCCCAGCCCAGGCCGCACGCCCCCGCGAAGGATGGGGATAACAGCACCTGGTCCTCGAGCTTCTGGCGCGCATTCCCGTCCCGAGCTGCGGCGCCGTAGTCCCGGCCTCTCGAGCGCCCGGCTGTCCAGCCGGCATCCCCGGCCCGGCACGGCCCTACACGGGCCTTAGCTCCGGCGGGTCCCGCGCTCGCCTCCGTCCCCCTGTCTAGCCTTCCTCTTTCGCTCGTTAGTCCTCGGCTCCGGCCGCCTTTCCCTGCCCTGCCTTGCTCCAGTCTCGGCCCTATCAGTTTTCCAGTTTTTCTCCACCTTCTCACCTTTCAGCAAAGAAAAAGATCCTTTCCTCGGCGTACCAGTGCTGGTCCCACACAGCCGCAGCGACGGAGGTAGCGGTGGCGGCCCAGACAGTTCCAAGAGACTGGGCGGGGCCGCCACTTTCCACACCCCGGCCTCCCCGCCCTTTCCCGCCCCCATTTCAGCCCCACTTCCGGGATAGGCCCAGCGCGTCACAGGCACCGCCCTCTCGTGCTACCATTGGCTACAAGGTTCCCCAGACCCCGCCCAGTCACGTGAAGAGCACCCTGGCAAACCCACGTGCTGCGGATTAGTGCACTTCCGGCGTGAAGAGCACTTTCTGGAGGCCAGTTGCTGAGGCTAGAGTCACTGGCAAGAAAACTTGATCCCTAAAACTTGGTTGGTTGCATTGGGGTGTCAGTTAAAGTTAACAAGAACCGAATCACTTATTCTGTGGACCCAGCCCTCAGGTGCATGCCTGTTGTCACGTGACAGATGTCAGCTTTGGAGAGGCTGGAGAATTTAATAGTGTTACACGTGACTAGGGAGGGAACTTTGGAATTGAACATCAGCCCTATTTGGGCTTGCTCCTCGAGGAAGAGCCTGAATCCATATTCAGCTCTGCGCTCACTCAGCTCTGTGCTGTGGGCTCCTCCTGGAACTTCAGCCACCTATGATCAGTTAATGGCAGCGATTGCCACTGGGTGTCCGCTGGAGTCAGCAGGGCTCTCCGGGGTGGGAACTCATAAAACATCCTAAAAAGCAACAGTGAAATGGCCTAACTCTCTCCTGTCTCCAGAGGCTAAGTTATAGAGGTGAATGGTGTCTGACTCCTACCACATTGTCCAGTTCAGAAAGGTGTTCTGCCAGACTCAGCTATTTTCTCCTGGAGTTGGCATTTCATTGAATTGGAGGTATGTCTAAACCTCATTAGAGAAGATGGGTTGTCTTCAAAATCGACCTGGAGCCAATAGACTTGTATAGGATTAAAGACCAAGGCTCTTAAACGATATGTGCTCCCCATTTCACAATGCGCCACCTTTTCTGGTCTGGAGAAGGTGACCTCCACACCCCAGTTTATGTGGCCCTGTGATATTGTATCGCTCTATCATGAATAGTCCTATTTCTCATATTCCCATGTGGCTGTACAGTTTACACAGATATTTCACACGTTTTCTAAGTAACCTTTACAATAATGAACTCCCATTAACAGCTCAACTTCTGGTTATATATTGATAGGAAGAGCCAATAGAATCCTAGTTCAGGAGACTACTCTGCTTTTCCTTACACCACCTAACGTTTCTCTATTGTTATTAGAATGATTGCTAACGTTTAAAGAGTATTTATGTAAGTAGGAGATGCATTAAACGTTTTATGTGTATTATTCCTTTAATCTTGACCTTGGCTGTTACTCTTTTTATAATATCATTTATTAAGTTTAATTTATAGAAAGTAACACTTACCTTTTTTAGTTATGAGTTTTGAAGAACACAGGCAGATGTGTAACTAGCACTATCAAGATGTGTATCTTGATACAGAGTATTTCCCTTATTCTAAAAGTTTCCTCTTGCCTTTTTGTGGTTAGTCCTCTCCCCCCACAGCCAGCTCCTGGTAATCATTAACAACTATTCTTTTACATACATTTTTAGTTGTGGAAAATAGCAGAGAAAAATTAATTTCCCCACATCACACAGCTAGCATGTCAGAAGGACAAGACTGGCAGTTTGGCTCCATAGTCACCTTTAACTCCCACCATATACTGCAGTCACAGAAGATTTGAGTTTGGAATAAAATAATCTGGTTTTATTCATTTAGCAAATACAGTTGATTCTGGAACACTAAATCAATAAATATAGAACCATTGCTCCTAAGGGAAATACAGAGTTAGGTGCCGGTGAGCCCCTGGTCACAATATCTTCATCAACTGACCAATATATAATCTCCTTTTATGTGTGTTTCTGTTTAAAGACCTTCTTTAATATGTATTAATTCATTGACATTTAACTCACTATAGCCAACAGCACTATAATTCATGCCCAAAGGTGGCTTATCTAACACATGTATTTTCTCTGTAAATTACACCACAGCCTTCATGTGCTTAAAAAAACTGGACAACACTTCAGCACTATATTTGGGGACCATTTGAAACAGCCAGTTCACCAAAAAAAGTCATAAAAATGTGAAAAAGTGGCTAGAATAGACTGAAAAAGACTTTACTCTTTGACAACTGAAACAAGAAAGCAGAGCATCACCTCATTTGACCTTGGCCAGGAAAATGTGTGTGGTAGGTCCCAAATCTTTCACTCCTCTGTGCATAGCCACAAAAGATCATGAAAGCATCTGAAGTATTGATTTGGTGGTTAAAAGTAAATTTAGCAAGTAGGGAAATTCATGAATATGGAATCTATGAATAATGAGAATTGATTGTTTTTATTTTAGTGCTCTTAGTACTAAAATTGCCATGCTGACCAAGACAGCCTCTTGTTCATTAGGTATTTTCAGTCTAGTGCAGGATACAATCTAGCAGTTTTAACAATATAATAAATGCTAGTAAAGAAATTAGGGTACTGAGAAAAGGGGCTCCATTTCAGCTAATCTAAGTGTTGTCCAATTGAAATACAATGTAAGCCCCATACATGTAATTTTGAGTTATACTATAGTCACATTAAAAAAGTTAAAAAATCTGAAATTAATTTCAAATAAGATATTTTATTTAACCCAATACATCCAAAGTATTATTTCACATGTAACCAGTATAAAAATTATTAATAGATAATTCTATATTTTTAAATACTAAGCCTTAAAGTTTGGTGTAGAGTATATCACTATTCATATTAGCCCATTTCAATAGCTAGGTATGACTGGTAGCTATCATACTGGACATCACAAGTCTAGATTTCAGTACTTCTCTGGCAGCGATATCTTAATTTTAAATCCGAAAAATGAGTAGAAGTTAGCAATAAAGAGGAGTTTGGAAAAGGCATTTTAGGCAAAAGGATTGGGAGTATAGATGCCTATCTATGGCAGGATTGTGGCTTCCTGGACTGCAAATTGTTTGTGCTTAGTATGTACTGTAAAAACAGATGGCTGGACTTGGATTTTCTCTCAAAGGCAATAGAAAAACATTGAAGCAGTACATAAAAGAAAATGACAGGCTACATATTTTATTTAGAAAGATCATTCCAGTTATTATATGGGCACTATTTTATAAAGGGGTAGAAAATGTTGGATATAGAAAATCAACTAAGAAGAAATAGTTAAGGATGGAGAACAAAGGTGGTGACTGTGAGAACATAGAGAAGACAGACAGAAGAGAATTAAAAGGGAATATAGAAAGAATGTGATAATTTAATGTTAAGGATCAAAATGCAAAGGCTGACACAGGATATGAAGAAGAGGGAAGCTTCAAATTGAAAACTAGGAGGATGGTGGTACCACTTGCTGAGATAGGAAATAAAAGAGACAAAGCAAGTTTCCAGAGCAAGTTGAGTTCATTTTTGGCCATTTTGAGTTTAAGCGTACTGTGGGAGAGGGATATGTCTTAAATAGACATTTGAGAATCATCAGTGCATAGATGATGGCTAACGCTAAAGCAAGAGACTCTTCAACTTGAGGGACACACACAGTCTGATGGAAAAAGATATTCCATGCAAGTAGAAACTACATATATCATTCAAAATTAGACTATAAGGCAAAGATTGGAATAAGAAACAAAGAAGGTCATGTAATGACACAGAAGTCAATGCAACAAGAGTATAAAAATTGTAAATATTTATGCACCCAACATAGGAGCACCTAAATACATAAAACGAACATTAACAGATCAGTTGATACCACAGAAACACAAAGGATCAGAAGAAATGATAAATGTTTATATGCCAAACGATTGGAAAACCTAGAAGAAATGGATAAACTAATAGAAACATTCAGTCTACCAAGACAGAATCATGAAGAATAGGAAATCTGAGCAGACCAATTACTAGTAAGGAGGCTGAATTAGTAATCAACCCTCCCACACCTCCCCCCACCAAAATGTCCAGGACCAGATGGCTTCACTGGTGAATTCTACCCAACATTTAATGTGAAGAATTAATTGCAATTCTTTTGAAACTTTAAAAGTCGAAGAGGAAGAACAACTTGTTAACTTATTTTACCAGGTCAGTATCATCCTGATGCCAAATATCAGAAAAGGACACTCTAAGAAAAGAAAATGAGAGGTTAACATCCCTGATGAACATAGATGCAAAAATCTTCAAGGAAAGACTAGCAAACCAAATTCAAAAGTACAGGAAAGGGATCAAACACCATGATGGAGTGGAATTTATTCCAGGAATGCAAGAATGGTTCAATATTTGCAAATCAATGTGATACACTACATTAATACAATAATATGAAGGGAAAAACTATATGATTATCTCAATAGTTACAGACAAAGCATTTGACAAAATTCAACATCCATCCATGATAAACACTCTCAATAAACTGTATAGAGAGACACTATATCTGTATATAATAAAAACCATACCTGACAAGCCCTTGGTTAACATCATACTCAGTGGTGAAAAGTCACAAGTTTCCCCTCTAAGATGAGGAATGAGAGGAGGATGCCCACTCTTGCCCCTTTTATTCAAGCTGGTCCTGAAAGAAATAAAAAGAAGCAAAAGTCATCCAAATTGGAAAAGAAAGTAAAATTACCTGGATTTTCAGATGACATTTCTATGTTACATACAGAAAACCCTAGCGATTCCACCAAAAATGTTAAAATAAGTGAATTTAGTAAAGTTTTGGGGTAAAAAAAATCAATATACAAAAAGCAGTTGTGTTTCTATGCACTAGCAAGAATCAGTCAGAAAGAGAAATTTTTTTAATTCCACTTATAATTTCATCAAAAAGAATAAAATACTTAAGAATACATTTAACCAAGGAGGTGAAAGTCCCATACACTGAAAACTATAAAACTTTGATGAGAGAAATTATAGAAGACACAAATGGAAAGATGTTTTATGCTCATGAATTAGAATAATTAATATTGTTAAAATGTTCATACTCTCCAATTTACATATTCAGTGCAATCTCTATCAAAATTCCAATGACATTTTTCACATAAACAGAAAATTCT